TGACAAAGGTTTCCGCAGACCGCATCCCGAGAGGTCCCGAGTAAATAAAGCCTGACGCTCCCTCCCCTCCCCCCACCACCGAATGGGGGTTGAACCTGGGCCATGAGGAAGGAGGAGGGAAGAGAAGAACGTGCTATGGGCTTAAAGTGAAGAGGGATGGGGTGGAACAGGCAAAGCTTTCTTCAGGGTCCAGCTAAGGTGAGATCCCAGAGTGACCACAAGGCGCACTCGGGTACCCAGTCAAGGTAGGAGTCACACGCGAATTCAGTGTTCCACGTGCAAAGAGTGTTTGCATTGGGAAGGGTATTCAGAGGAGCAAAGAAAATAATTCCGTTACTAACCTCTATCTCGGGCCCTCTTGCTTCCTTTAAAATTATAAGGGGGGGCACGGTGTCGCACTCAGTTCGCAATCAGCACTTGAGAGGCTGAGGCAGGCTTGAACACACAGTTGAGTTCTAGGCCAAACTGGACTACATGTGCCCCTGTGCACGGATGGGTGCGTGGGTGGGTGGATGGATGGATGGTATGACGAGGGACGGAAGGACGGGTGGGTGGGAGGGTGAGTGGATGGATGGGTGGATGAACGGACAGACGGATGGACGGGCAGATGGATACAAAGTAGACTTGGGAGATGGAGGCAAAGGGATCAGAGTTGAGGTCATCCTCTGCTAAGTAGCCAGTTCAAGAGCACTCTGGGCTACTTGAGACCCTGGAGAGCAAGGGGGTTGAGGGAGAAAGGAAAGGAGAGAGTGAGGAAGGAAGGAATTGTGGGTTCTGACCAAGGTAAGAATCATCACCCCATCTTAAATTATAACTGTTCCCCCTCTCTCGGGCAGACCTGTCGCACTGAAGCCAAGTCTGGCATAGTTAAATAAGACCTGCCAGAGACCTGTCTCAGACTCGGCTCCTGTGCTAGGCACCAACAGTTTGGACTAAAAATCAAAATGTACTCTCTTAAGTCCCTCGGCACTAAAATTATCGCACCTTCTCAGACAGGAAAACGAAAAATACAGAAATTTTCTGAATTGGCCGATAATCCATCATTTAAAAACCCTTTAGTTGTTACAAAAATTCACCTTAAGTAATCTGCTCTTAACCCATCAGTTACTTTTCTATCTTTGGTTTCCCTATCTCCACCATATTAGGAAAGCAACTTCACAAATAACTAATTCCCTTTTTCTATGATTCCCCCTTTTCAGCCCTTATTCTGGCTATAAAAGCAGTCCCTTCTGCTGGGCTCTTTTATGGAGTCAGTGTGGCTCAAGTCTAGATTAGCAAAGTAAAAGCCAATTGAGATCTGTAAATTGAGCCGGGCCATGGTGGCACATGCTTTTAATCCCAGCACTCGAGAGGCAGGCGAATCTCTGTGAGTTCGAGGCCAGCCTGGTCTACAAGAGCTAGTTCCAGGACAGGCTCCAAAGCCACAGAGAAGCCCTGTCTCGAAAAACAAACAAACAAACAAAAAAATCTGTAAGTTGTATTTATCAGTACTGGGGGCTGAACCTAGGGGCTCATGCAGGCAAAACAAGCGCTCTGTCACTGAACTACAGCCCAAATGCTCCTCCCCTAATTTTCTTTTCTTTTCTTGACAAAATGAATGTTCATATGTGTTACTGCTTGGCTTGTGATTAGGTGTGTAGATTAAAGGAAAGCAAGAGTCTTTGAATTGTCTTAACTATGAAAGCATCTATCTAAGTTTGAAAATGACATGAATCAACTCATTTGATTGATAGCAACTGAATAAAAGCAGGGGAAAGTGGGGACTCACTGTACCAAAAAAGCAGAAACTGACACACAAAAACCTCTACTGTAAGGGCTTCAGAAATGAATGCCAAGAGGCCAGCGGCACTCGGTGTCCCACAGGGAAGTCAAAACCCAAAGCCCTCAATTTGCATTTCAGTAAAATGAAGGTTACCTCCTGTATCTAAATGCCCTTCCAGAGTTCCTCCTACTAGACCCAACTCTACAAGAAGGAATAGACGGAATGACCAATCAGTGTTCCTAAAATAAGTGAGACTTAAAATCAGAACAAAACCAAACAGCTTCTGGGATCTGTATGGCATCACTCAATTCAGGCTGTTTCCCGAATTTCCTGTGTCTGATAGTAACGATGATACTCTTGTCCAAGATCAAACCTTTGTCCTGTCTTCTTCACAGGGGTCCCTAGATGCCCAGCTTTCCCCGTTTGGGGTCTCTTTTGTGACCTTCCCCCATTTTCACTGCCATTTTTGTAAAAAGTACAAATTCAGACAACTGAAGATCTTCGCTCTGACCCTAATCTACTTTCTGGCAAATCCCCGGCTTTGTCTTGTATATCCATCCATCACTGTGACTGGTTCCTTGACGGTACCCACAGCATGCAGCTCGTACTACCTCTGCCTCTTAGCCCACAGGATCCTCTTCCTGGTCCTGACCCGGTTACACAGCTCGCAGACCTGGGATGGTAACTGTTACACTGTTCAGTGCTGTTCTCCTCTGCGCTGCCTTCTAGGGTTCTCTCTTACTCAACGTTTATCTCCAAAACTAAAGTGTAGATTACTTAACAAATGTCTCCAGACCCCAAAAATGCAGATAGAAATTTTGATTCTCAGTATCTCAAGAAGCCTAACTAAAATTCAGTACCCAGCAACAGTTTGGCCTTTCAGGTGACCAGCAATAAGTTTAAGTTTCTCTATTTTTCATTATTAAAACAGCATGATACTGAAACACTAAGTCATATCACACTAAGCAAAATTAAGAGTGGCAGTATTATGTGCTTGATTCATATAAAATTGGGAAAATAAGAAGTTATCAACTCAGACTTGTTTTGAAGACTAAATCCTTGAGATTCATGGAGATAATAAAAAATAAAGAGCTAAGGAGATACATATATATATATATATATGGAGATAAGGATATATATTATATGTACAATATATAATAAGAGCCAATTAACATATCTAAAGCAGGAGCTAAGGATATAGAGCTCAAGAACTCAAGAACAGAGCTCAAGAACAGAAGACAATTTGGGTTTTCTTTTATTTGTTTGTTTTGAGACAGGGTCTCTGTACATACCCCTGGCTGTCCTGAGACTCACTCTGTAAGACCAGGCTGGCCTACAACTCACGGAGATCTGCCTGCCTCTGCTTACCAAGTGCTGGGATTAAAGGTTTGCGCTACCTGGTAAAAGGAAAAGAAAAAGGAAAATACTTTTTCCACTCTTCCTCTCCATTACTCAAATAAGTGGCACACCCATCACAACTGCTTAAAAAGCCTGGGTGAGCCTAGGATCATCGCCAACATCCTGTAAGCTCTTGTTTTCCCTTGCTCTAATTCAGTTTCTGATTCTCTTTATTCCTTCATGCAAGTAAGACAGTGACGGCTTCCCCTTTCGATTTCAAACGAAATTCTCAAGGCTAAGATAAAAATCACAAAACACATCTCAGAGTTGGACCGGGAAGGTTTTCACTATTCCCAAGATGAGCCTTCAGTTCACAGTTCCCCTTTAGGAAGCACTGTGGGTTATTATGGCTGTCAGTGCATTTCCTTAACTGCACTCTTACCCTGGTGACAACAGAAGTGGAACCAACTACCAAGCAAGACTGAAAGCTGGTTTGTTTGCAACCTACCAGTGGTCCCTGTGCTCTGAAAAGGCCACTGGCGCTTTACAACAAGTCCTCTAGCCTCTGGAGCCTGGCCCAGATAATATATAATCACTATTAACAGCAAACTGTTAGAATGTTCTGGAGATTTAAGAAGTGGTTACTGGGGCTGGAGAGATGGCTCAATGGTTAAGAGCCAACTGCTCTTCCAAAGGACCTGGGTTCAATTCCTAGCACCCACATGGCAGCTAAGAACTCTAAGATCTGACACCCTCACACATGATACAGGCAGAGATACATGCAGGTAAAATACCAATGTACATAAAATAAAGAAATTTAAATTTTATCTTAAAAAAAAGTATTTATTAAACAGGCAAACTCAACAGCAGACACCTGTCCTGAGTGTGAATATACAGGCCACAGGTTGCCTCTATTGCATGCGCCAACAAGAAAAAGACCAGATAATATATATAAACTAATAGCTTCCAAGATGCTAATATCAGGCAATGAAGGCACAGAATCCTTCAGAGGAGAAAAACAAGCAGGGTTTGCTCCAACTTAACTGTGCTCTGAGACCTCACAGGCCAGCCGGGACGTTCAAGCACACTCCCTGAGTTGAGGAAATGGAAACACAAATTGGGGAGAATGTATGGAGCTCACATGACAAAGCATAAGAGCCAGTGAACATAGAGAACCCCAGGTCCTGGAGAACTTCCCAGTACTGATGACACATGCATGTGAGGAGACTGTGAGGGCCTGGACTGAACACAGCAACCGAAAGCATCGCAGACATACTGGTCACCCAGACAGCCAGGAGCAGTGGCTGTTCTAATCAGTGCAACTAGAA